AAAAAACTTGAAATATGGTCAATTCCCAAAAGACAGTTTGCATGTACATGTATTACATATATGTACAGCAGCTGCCATAGTATTGTTTGGGTGTAAAGAGCAATTTGCATTCACAGCTTACTGTCGAAGTTGATTCCAATCCTGTAGGAGTTGATCGCCCATCAGTTGCAGTAAATGTTTGCATTCTCCCAGTTATGATTCCTTGTGTTGTATAATATGTTGGATCTGCTGGTTTTTTTCTGCACCAAAACAAAATAAAAAAAAAATTCAAATTCACCGATCAAGACACAGAAACAATACATTATAGATATTTTTTGAATGTCCAAAACATCACAACTGTTGACCCTGGCAGTTCCATGACGAGACTCACAAAGTTATAAATTACGTTTTTTTTCTTTTTTGGCGATTATAACTCTTGATTTCTACCAGAAGTGATCAACATGTAACTTCTCCCAATGACATCCATACGCTATCTGGCAAACAGGTAATGAGAATACTCAAACTTATCATGTAGAAGTTATCTTGATGTAACACCATATCGTGATCACATGGCTCCAACCTATCTTGTTGAACTTCTTAGTCGATATATTCCTGCACGAAACCTCCGTTCATCAAACATGAATCTGCTTGAGGTCCCAACAATTCGAACTAAAACGTATGGGCAAAGAGCATTCTCCTACGCTGCACCATATTTGTGGAATAAACTACCTGAATGCATAAAAAATGCCGAATCTGTTGACTCCTTTAAACGCTTATTGAAAACTTATCTTTTCAAAAATTAAGCCACCAGATTTCTTTTTGATATTGTATGTTGTCAAATATATGTATAACATGTAATAATTCATTAGTTTAGATAGAGTAACGAAAATTGCACGTATAGGATTTTTATTGAAATTTTGTTAATTGTAATTGTAAAGCGCATAGAGTTCAATTTTAATGCGCTATATAAGAACTTATTATTAAATTAAATTAGTGATGTAACACCAAACTATTTTAACTAATTTACAAGAAAATGTTTTGCAGCTAGAGCGGAGAATTAACAATCAGATCTTGAGAATTAAATGGTTAAGAGGCACAGATAACCTTTTGTCATGAACTTGTACATTGTCATCGCTATAACAACAAAGTACCGATTAATCTGTATGTCCCTCCTAATCTGTTGCGTGAACATGAACAGCTTTCCACAGACTGTTTGGATCACCTTAGATATCCCTTAGGCATTCCCAAGCTCTTATGGGGATCACATATGATAATTACAGGTTTAAGCTTGAAATCCACACCTAAATAGCAAGATGGATTCTACTTATTTTTGTTTTGCTTTCACTCATAACCCAATCCTGTCCAATTGTGAAGTACGTATCAGAAATTATGGGATTCATAACAACTATATTATATATAACTGTAAGTATTTTCATTCACATAAATAAATAGTTGAAAAAAGGAAAATAAAGTTTAATTTTCATAATTTGCAGTTTGTCAAAACCCCTGTACCTTGCAATATCCTTGTAAATTGTACTCTTGTCATTGATCTGTTTGGCAAGGCCCATGTACAACTCTGCCAACCGCCTGCACTGCTTGGAATGGGCACTTAGCAAAGCAGTTCTCTTTGTAAGATCAGAAATTTCCTGGGTGGTTTCAGAATATGCCTCTTCTGTAGTAAAATTAAAAATTAAAGTTAAAATAAAATGGAGTTGATGTAGTTTATAAGAGAAGGGGGGAAATTGCGGTGACCTAGTTGTCATTGTGCTAAACTCAGGTTTAAGGTCCTATTTCCAAACCCTGACCCAGTCACTGCATTCTTTTAGTGGGCAAGAAACTTTCTACTCACCATTTCCCTCTATGCCAAGGGCTGAAAATAAACACTGGAATGCTTTCATGGAAAGTTAATAACAGACCTCCTGTCTATTTTAAATCAGAATCCCTGCCTCATAGTTATCCATGTTGAGTAAGATACCAATTTGCTTGTTTCCCTTTTTTTTGTACTCTCACTGATAAGAGGCAAAACAACACAACCAACATGGCAACTTAAAAAAAAAAGAAAAATGAAGATTAAGTGTTAAAATATGAGATAAAAATTATGCATTACCAGCCTCAAGAATCTCCTTCTGCAAGGCCCTCATTTCTTTTTCCAGATGGTGCACTTTAATTCTCACTTCCAAAAGCTCCTTAGTTAACTGAGAATGTTTCTCTTTGAGATCTCCTCTTTCACTATAATCTGCTTTATCAACTACAGGAGGTCCTTGTTCATGGATCAGCTTTTGTCTAGAGATAGTTTCTGTCAAGGAAACTTGAATATACAAACATGTGGATGGCTCACAATTCAACCAATTAAGGTAAAAGCCTTTGGAAGGTGGTGGTGAGGGGGGGGGAAGATTTGTCTAATAGCTTGGGGGCGTTTTTTCAATAAAACAATTANTCTTGTAGCACTGGATCAGAGATAAAAACTCTCTTCGTTTCTCCAAAGTTTGCCAATTCAGTAGGCGGCAGCGGTCTTCATAGCTCATTTCTCCGCGTTTTTGCTTTAATGCCAACCGAGATGCCCTTCTTTGGACTTTTTCCAAGGATTCGATATCCTTTTTTTGGTAGGGGCTCCAGACGGGGACAGCGTATTCGAGTATAGGTCTTACTAACGACTTAAAGAGGCAGGAAAACGCATAGCGATTATCGTTTCCAAGTGATCGCCTAATTATACCCAACACTTTGTTCGCCTTGTTTACTATGTAGGAAACGTGTTTACCCCAAGATAGATCGTAGTTTATTGTGACCCCTAGGTCCTTGGCGCTGTCGACAGATTTTAGTTGCGTACCAAGGGAATAACTAGGCTTGGATCTGTCTCTACTGTGCGTTACACGCATAACTTCACATTTTTCAGGATTAAAGCGCAACTGCCACTTGTTAGCCCAATCGCTTAATTTGTTCAAGTCCAGCTGTAAGGCTGGTATATCCTTATCAGGCTCCATGATCTTGCGATAGATTTTAGTATCATCAGCGTAGATTTTCACGGTTGATGCAATGTTTGCCGAAATATCATTTATATAAATAATGAATAGGATTGGGCCGAGTACTGTTCCTTGAGGCACACCTGAAATCACGGGTGACCAGTCTGAACAATTGCCCCTTAACACTACACGCTGCCTTCTATTCGTCAAAAAATTTCTAATCCACAGTAGTAGAGAGCCGTCTATCCCATACCGTTGTAGTTTCAGCAGCAAGCGCTCGTGTGGCACGCTGTCGAAAGCCTTGGAGAGATCTAAGAAGATGATATCCGTTTGTTGCGAGCAATTCCTAGCCTTTGCCCAGTCATTGTAACATGTAAGTAATTGTGCCAACGTCGATTTACCCCTTAGATACGCAAATTGGTCTGGATTAAAAAGATTGAGGTCTGACCAAAAGTCGACCACACGGGACTTTACCACAGCTTCTGCAATCTTGCAAACAATACAAGTCAGTGATATTTGGCGGTAGTTCTCCATGAGATTTTTGCTCCCTTTCTTATGGACTGGAGTGATGTGGGCCGACTTCCATATACTTGGTAGTTGACCTTGAGAGAAGGATGTATTCAAAAATAAAGCCAGTGGAGATGACAACACTTGAGCACATTCTCTTAGGATGCGAGGTGATATGTAGTCGGGCCCGGGGGACTTGTAAATATTCAAATTTCTTAGCAATTTCTCAACTTCCGTGGCAGAACAAAAGATGTTACATAATTTCTCATCTGTAATATATTCAAGGTCGGGAAAGTTTTCGTGATCCTCAACAGTAAACACCGATGAGAAATAAGAATTCATACCATTGGCAATGCTCAGGTTGTCGTTAAGATACGAATCGTTCACCTTTAAGGACGCTAAATCACATTTGACTTTTCTCTTTGATTGAACAAAGTTCCAAAAAGGCTTTGAACTGTTTCCGGTCTTTAGTTCATCTGCCAGATTGTTTATAAATTGCCTACGTGCAGAAAAAAGAAAGTACCAAGAACTCAAAAGAAAAAGAAAAAAAAAACTCATCAAAAGAAAGTACCAAGAACTCAAAGTAACCAGTTTCTAAGCCAGCAGTTAATTAATAAGAACCATGTGGAAATGTCAAGGTCAAAGGTGACAGGTGATAACAGAGAAAATTGAGGGGGTGGTACAAGAATAAGTGATAAAGGTACTGGAATGTCAAGGGAGAGCCAACAACCAGTAGGCTGAGAGGAAAAGGACAAGAGGGTAATTTTGGTTGGGAAAGGACTGTTATTTGGGAGAAACGAGGGTACAGCTCTATTTGGTAAATTGTAGACTTTAAGGAAATAACAACTGTGACAGCAACAAGGATGTGGCCAAACAAAAATTATTATGGGTAGAACAATAGCTCAGCATGTGCATATCAAAACTTTGTAAATTTTACAGCTGTACTTTGCAGAACAACACAAAAATCACCAGAATTTGCAAGTTCTGAAAACGGAAATCCCAACAGCAAATCATCTATGTTTCCATTTTGGTATTCAACAGCTACTTAACCCTTTAACTTCCATGAGTGGTCAAGAGAGAATTTCTCCTTACACAATATCAACACAATATCCAGCAAGAGTGACAAGAATAAAGAAAAAATATCAATTGGGGTATTTTAGGTTGATCCAAGACAAAATTCTCCAGACCAACATCATAGGAAATGTGTGACAGATAGTAAGGAGAATTACCAATGAGATCTTGGGAGTGAAAGCACTAAGTAAATATGTTTTATGCTGAAGTAAAGGTGCACTGCCCTGAGAGATAGTAAACACATCCAGCCATTCACGAGATTCTAACTTAAAATATATATTCATGGTCTTCCTCGGCATTATTATCCCAGGACCAGTTGTTCGAAGGCCAATTAGCGCTAACCCAGGGTCAATGTTTAATCCAGGTTTCTTTACCTCTCTGTTCAATAACCTTTTTGGGTAAATTTTCTCTATTCTTTTTAGAAATCTAACCATCAAATTGCAGACATAATAATTTAAAATGAATTTTCTGTTAGTGCTTTCAGATCTGAAATCAAATATCACACTAACCTTGGGTCACCATAACCCAGCTTTGAACAAGGTCCAGTACTCAAGGTCCCTAATATGATATACAGACAATCCCTTGACTTTTTTTACCATTATAAGAGGTTTCCTCAAGACATTATTTGCAAGCCTACAGAATTTCTTTTAATCTATTGCAGTGACCTAATATTTCTCACCTTTGACTTCAACATCATTCTAGAATGTTGATTTAAGATATCAAATAAGATCAACAATGATGATACACAACATGCAAAAAAAAAATTTTTTTTTTATCAAGAAGAGGATACAACTTCAAATTCCCATGGATCTTCTGCACAGTTCTGTTATTTCAGAAAAGGAAATAATTTGTATCAAAAATTTGCAAACTGACATCTAGAATGTAGCATCTAATGAAAAATTTCTTGAACCTGTTTGAACAACAAACTCATTTAAATAAATACCTTTTGAGCTGCAAAGAAAAGCCTAACGCAGACTGAGTGTTTGGGCCATGTTCAGACTTCTATTACTCCTCGGTTGACCTTCGAATACGACAAAAACAAACTTCAAATCTCATGCCACTCACCTTGTAGATCTGACATACTGCAACACATACTTCCAAACATCCACCATTGCTCCACGGCATAACCTGCAGAAGTATTGCAGATTATAACCAGTGTTTTTCAATGGTTTTACATTAGATTGGGTTAATACCCACATCTGTCTGTTAGCAACAACAGTTTCTCTCTCCCCATTGCAAACACACCAATTAATATTTCAATAACACTTGTTCATCACACACCGAATTTCTTCGATCTAGACCCACTAGAAATAAGAATGTGTAAATCTTAAATGCAACGAGTAGTTTAAAATCCTTCCATCAAAACCTTTTTAATTGAACCTTACATCTTGAAATTGTCCTTCGATGGTACACTTGTGTTAATATGTCTTCCTTGCGATCGAAATCGCATTTCGTCCAAGGCCCAACCTCGCAGTTGTTCAGCCAGATCTCGATCTCTCTCCATTTTGACAACGTGGATAAAAATATATCTGTTTGCTGGGTGTTTCTACACAAATAAATCCCTCGTTAAAAGTTGATTCAACGACCAGAAACTTTTAATATGTAATTTTGCTTTTGGCGGGATGATCACTTGTTACCAGGTTTCCCAAGCCAAGAGGACCCGAGTCAGGATTGGGCTTGTGGGAGAAGAGTCCAGCAGCCCGGTTTATATTACTGTACCTGACTGCACCTTCTTTTTGTTCCGTCAATTCTCCAAGAAAAAGTAAAAGATCTAGGGGTTCTCTTACCTCTGTTGAATTTAATAAAATTGCTCAATTGCTCAAGGCACGTGCAATATCTTAGTGCCATGGCACTTCTGTCCAATGTCAGAGCAGGTGCGGAGACTAAGTGTTGTGTTTCACTCTTTTAATGCACAATGTTGAGTTGTTGGAAATTCAGTTCAGGTTTATAAGTACTGAGCCCATGTTGCTTGTCACGATAAAAGACAGACATTGCCAAAAACGTTTAAAAATGTTTCCTCTGAAACCCTGATATAGAAAATATTTCACGAAAAACATATGACAGTTATAACCTTGAAAATAATAAGAAAAAACAAAACAAATCAAAACAAACAAAAAACACCAAAGAAAGAAATACGCTGATAGTTGGCGGGTTGTTCCATTAATGTTTTCATTCTAGATCTTCTCCCAGTCTTAGACCTTATTAAAAAAGCTAGCTTTGCCTTTATTTTGCCAAAGGAATCGGTTTTATAAAGCTGAGAAAAATGCAGTTCCTGGTGTCCAACGCAGGTCGAAATTAGGGTTGTTTGCATACTGTCGGCGTGACAAATAAACAGAAGATTAAAAAATAAAATGAAAAAAAAAAACAAACAAACATTTCTTTTACTCTAAGTATTTCATAAAGTGTTTTTCCTTATGAGACACAAGCTCATCAACATGTGAAACATTTTAAGCCCACGCTAGGTAAACATTTCAAGAGTCCCACAGATGTATTTGACTTGTTTCCATTTAAACTCGAACTAAAAAGTTAAAAACCCCTCTACTGTTTTCTATTCATTTATCTCATTTATTTTTATGTTAAGTACAATGGAGCATACATTTTTTGAGCACAAAGAATTAGCATTGTTACCTCGAAACATCGAACATAATGCGGACATCCCACAGTGACCCTAGATCTAGCTACATCAGTTCTAACTTGTTTACTGACCACAGAAGCTATCAACGGCCGGGCGGATTATAAAAATGAAAAACCAAATTATTAGGAATTCATGTTGACCGATTACATAACTCTAAAGTGACGGCTTAAACGCTCAAGCCGACATGAAATAAAACTGATTTTCGGACTGCACTTCAAAGCCGGCCGGCATTTTGTGAATTTTGAACGTGTCGTTCAAACTGTATTAGTAAAACTAGTGCCCACCTCGTGTGTTTCTGGCACATTGAACAATACTTTATCAGTCTGACGATGTCCAATATATATTAAGGGCTTACTTCATAGGTCAATTGCTTAATCTATAGTGAATAAAACTGTGCTGAGAACAACAGCCATCTAGCTAGCGGAACCTTACCTAAGCAACTTGAAACTAAGAACAGAGCATCCAACATGAAGGAAGGTTACTAGACATTTGAAAAGTGCAATACAAAACCAAACACTTATAACCAAACTTATCTGTGTTCCTTTTTTTGGCTTCAAACTATTAATTTAGAAGTTTCGTCCTCTTGTAAAGAGACTTTTAAGAACTCTAGCTTTTTTACACCTGTTGTAAAATTCGTAAATCATGTAAAGATAAAGGCGACTGCTAGATTAGAATTGGGAATGTCCCCACTTATACAAACGCTTTTTTACGGTCTACTCGAGATGATCTCGCTGAGGAATATTATAAGTTATTTTGGGTAGAAACAAAGAAAGACCATTTTTCATAAGGTCTTCTATGTTGGATTATTTTTGGCCTCCTTGAATAATCTAAAATCAATTGTTGGCGACCCTTTAATTTTCAATATCACTAAATGGTTTTAGCTACAATTTCTTTAAGGTGAAAAAAAAAAATTTGTCGTCAAATTGGTTTCCACTGGTGCTAAATATGTTGGTTAGGGGCTGAAAGAGACATACATAAATTAAAAAAAATCCTTATTCTACTTACTAATCAGTGAAAACTCTGTAATTTGTGATTGGCCTGTATTCATTAAAAAAGGTAAGAAAATCATGAAATTCAGCCATGTCAAGTTTGCTTTCTTTTATCCGTGAAACTAGTTGTCAAAGAGAGTTGGAATTGGGTATGACGCATTTTTCAAAACAAATTGTCGGAAAGAACCTTTAACAGTTGGCTTGAAGTCCTACTTCCTCCAAATTAGTTGTACTCTTCAAGGTTTCTCGGCATAGAAGTTTGGTCTCTACGACTGAGCAAGCTGCGCTTTGCGATTGGCGCTGGGTTACATCAAGGCTTACGCTCAAGCAACTTCTTGGCCGAAATTCCGCCAACGTTAACGCTGAAGGGGTAATCACTGAATTCTTCTTTCCAAGGCATCGAAAACACAATTGTTTAACAGCTCTCCGTATGTCTGACATGCGCCAGCAATAGACCAGAGGGTTAAAGGAGCTGTTGAGAAACACAGTTGTCGATGCATACAAGTAAGCTGTCTTGACGCTCGTGGTGTAGCCCTCTACCTTGTGAACAATTTTCACGCACAGAAACGGAATATAACAGAAGACGAAAATCCCCACGATTAACACCATCGTCAAAGTTGATTTTTTGTATCGCATTATCCTTGTAAGTTGATGGTTCACCTGGCAATGAACTGTTGATGTTGCCTTTATTTGTTTCTCGTGGCGGCGGACGTATTTCAGAACACTAGTATACGCCAAGAAAGTGAATATCAAGCTGCAGAATATTACTGGAATTATGAAATTACTAAAAATTTCATCATTGGCAATCCAAAACCTGGAAGCGGTTAACAGGATAAAAAAAATCCAGAGACCAGAGGCAGTGATTAAAATGCGTTTCGTGGTTACAATTTCTGTGTATCGGAGATGCAGATATAGTGCGAGGTATCTTTCGATCGCTATACCGGTCATGGTTAGAACTGAAGTTCCTGCCGTTATGTATCCCAGCGATTCTGTCAGTATCCTCGTGGTGCAATACATGCTGTAGTCTTGAAGAAGTTCCCCGATCTTGTGGATCACGAAACATGGTTGAGCAATTAAACCGACGGTCAGATCTCTGAGTGCCAAACAGCAAAGAAACACATTTGACGGCGTGTGAAGGGCTGGGTTCCTCCAGACTGCAAGAACTACCACAGAATTACCGGCAGCAGCTGTGAACAAGGATACGCAGTTTAAAATTGTAGTCAGAATCTGCGCGATGAAAAGGTGTTTTGTGAAATCCAAATTAATGTCCAAAAGAAAACATTCAAGAGAGAAATTGGCCGGCGAACTGTTTGTTCCGTTGGTGATCACCATATCCTTTAGTGGCGCGCGAGATCTTTCATATAACACCTGCTTAAGACTAATGAAGGCAAGTTCAGCCAGCCGACGCCGACTCTTTAGTAAATTATCTAGAGAGAGGATCTGACTCAACAATATCAGCTTACAGTGGGGTGCGTTTTTGGAATAACCATCTCGCTCAAGCACTGAATGTCAAACGGTTTTTCGCGGTAGGAAGATAATAATTACTTCGTGTTTATGCATAATTTATGGTAAAAATATCAAAGGCAATGTACAAATATCAAAGAATACATAAATCTCATTAGACGTTTCGTTGTGTAGTATCGCTGAGTACTTTTACGAGTTGTGCCGTATTTTGACGAGCCCGTAGGCCGAGTCAAAATACAAACAACGAGTAAAAATACTCAGCGATACTACAAAAGAAGTCGTTTAATAAGAGATTTATTATCCAGCACGCCAAATTATTATTTCAGTGCAAGCGAATTTCGCGGATAATTCTAGAGTACAAATATCGCGTGATATTTATACTCGTCTTGTGCGCTTTTTCTACTCTATGAAGCATATTTGGATAATAATTATAAAGCAAAGATACACAAGGGAAAAATATTCTATAAGTTATTGATTCGGTACGAAATTGCGGAAGAAATTGTCAAAATTGTCAATTTTGATGTTCACAGAGGACAATTCTATGAAATTCATGAATTAGGTTGGCAAAACACTTATCTCATAAGAGGAAGGAAAGTTTTAATAAGTCCAATATGTAAAACACTGCATCAAACCAAGTTTTACCCTTTAACCTTTGAGAATGACTATCATTAAGTTTTTCCTCGCAGCATCACCACTGAGCCAAACATAAGGAATTGAACAAAAGAATTGATCGCTGACTCTTGATTGTTACGGCAAATTCTCGTTGTAGGTATTATGGCAAGTGTATAATAAACAATGTGGAGAAGAAAAGGGGTAAGTTTCTAAAGAAATTGTGGCGCCACGTTGATGGGGGCCGGTAACAAGGTAATTTGCATGGTTAAATCAACTAAGTTGAAATTGTAAATTGGCCACCGTAACGAGCTAAAAAGCTGACGTTTCGAGTGTCTAACGCTCGAAACGTCAGCTTTTTAACTCTTTACGGTGGCCAATTCACAATTTCAACTTAGTTGATAAAACCAAATTGTAATGTTGTACAGGGTTCAAGGAAGCTTTAATCATGACACGTTTCGAAATTTTTTTTTTCGATATTGACGCATTGTTGATGCATTGTTTAAAGACTTCAGCCAATATTTTACGTGTATCATTGACTATCCTTCATCCGCTTAGATAATGAATCGTTTGGCAAAACTACACGGACCCAAAAAAGTCACATGCAAAAAAACCTAACGGTGGTGCTGATTGAATAAAATCAGTGAACTGGAATTTAAAAAAATGCTTAATTTAAAGAAAGAGAGGAAGAAAAACCAAAATATTTGCCTTGTGTGTTATCATGCGGTGGAGAAAAATCTAGAAATATACACACGGAGTTTGTTAATTAATTAATTAATTAATTAGCGTTTCGAATATGAAATAAAAGTTTTCAGACCGTACAAAATCACTTCCACATGAACTAAATTTTATCTCAGCAAGCTTACATAAGATGGAAAGAAAGGAGCCCTTGGGTCTCTTTCAGTTGAATGTTTGTTTTGTTCTGTTTCATTTTGCTTTTTATTCAATCGACCAAACATATTTCTACCAAAACATATATTAGAGATGTCTCTGATATTCATTCTTATAATACTCGATCCTCTGCCTCTAATAACTTTTACACACAAAGTTCCAGACTAGCTCTCAATTCAAGTGAATTCATTTTCTAGAATCGGAACAAAAATATGGAATGAAATGCTTGTATCTTTTAGAAAACTTTCTTGAAAATGCCTTCCAGAGGAAAATAAAACAAACACTTTTTGAGATCCTAGCTTCAGAAGATTGTTATATTGATCTTCCAGAAATCGTTAAAAAAGTTGAGTTGAATTTATCTTCCTCTTGATTGATCAGTTGATATGTATTCTTATATCGTTTAATGTATCAGTAATCTCCCGTCAAGACTGTTGTCATTTAATATTAGTAATATTAGTTTATCAGTGTTCTCTAATCATTGTTGTCAATTCTAACTTTTTTTAGTTCTCTTGTTACTTTTGGCTGTATTTAGTTGTATCTATTTCCTGTAAACATGACCCGCCTAGATTAGCTTAGCTAACCGCGGGCATGTTACTGTACTTTTATCCTAAAACACAATAAAATGTATGTATGTATGTATGTATGTAAACGTAAAAAACCTTATCCTCGAATCGGAAAGTGCTCTACAATCCTGGAGCTTTGTAAACAATTGTATAGAAAAATAATAATTAAAACCTCGCACTACAGATCTGTTTCGAAAGGGTTAAAAAGGCCTCTCTTGTCAGATGCATAAGCTACCGGTTGACTAACGATCCTTTTTTAAGTTTGTGGTTTAAGCATGCCTTATCAAGTATTTAGTTGAGTGCCGGCACGAACTCGCCAGTTCGTTCCTTTTGTTTAGGGTGCCCGCCCCTGTTCTGCATATGATGAAGAATTTTTCAGTTATACAAAGATTGCATCTCTTTGTAGTATTCTAGTACGGCCTGGCGCGAGCCATTATTTTCCATGTCACGGAAAACTCCGTTTCAGCATCCTTTAGGGACCAGATATATTTGCTCAACTCTGTTGCGTTCCTTTTGTTCTCATGTCTAAATGAAGCTGTATGGTTTCTAAATCTTGTTTTAAATTGGTTCGCAGTAAGGCCGAGGTACGTTTGGGTCCCCAAACGTATGTATGTGATGTATGTATGTATGTACCAAAATAAGTCATTGCTTCGAACCGGGCCTAAATCGGTTTCGACTTCGCAACTAGGGCCGAAACCTCTCTGAATCCAAGAGGAGGGAAAGACAGAGAGAGGGAGATAAAGAGAGTGTGTCTAGGCAAAATCTTTGTAAATAAAGAGACAGAATCGTAATTGGCTTTGATCATCAATTTTACTGAGACAGCAGGGCGACAAAGCAGTTTTCATCATGGTGCTGTCATTGTCTTGATTAATTGATACCATGAGTTACATTTCTGGCGTTGAAGACGTCTACATTTCGTTTTTGCGGAGCATCTGCGCACCTACATGAGCAACTGCGCACCCACCCCTCCCCTAATCCAACATTAACCCTGATATCAGTCGAATGTTGTTGGGTTAGGGGTAGGGTGGGGTGGGTGCACAGTTGTTAAGATACAGACATTCGTTCGGTTTTGTTTTGTTTTGTTTAACTTTGCTTTGTGTTTCTTTGGATTTTTTTTTTTTTAATAACAAGAAAAGAAATCAAGAAGCCTATATTTTCAAAATTCAGCCATGATGTTGTTTCGAATTTTAGGAAAGCTCGGGCTACGAGTACATGAAAGGAAAAAATTAAAAAGCTTTTGTCCAGTTAGATCTTCTTAGGTTACTGTGCACCTTCAGCGGTGTCTCGCGTGCAAGCAATGTATCGCGCCCGGATTAAACTGTAGATATCTAAACCCCATATCAAATTAAAGCTTGTAGGACTGGCTATCAGACTATACCAAAAATTTTGAAAAAAAATGAATTGTTGAATTTTTCACGACTTCTAAATGCGAGCGCCCGAATCACCCTTTAAGAGCTGCAAGTCAAAGGGAATTTCTTCGATTGCTCTCAAATTTTGACAGTAGCTAGTTTTACATATAAAGAACAAAAACGTGTCTCCGAATTTTTTGTTTCTAAATACTTCTTTTTCAAGAGCGATTTTTGTGCGATCACTCCACATTTTTTTAATCCTATTTCAAAAATATTCTGTAACTTTTCACTGAAATTGAATATGGCAAATCGCAGACATGTTTTTTTAGCGCTTTGGCCCCGGAAACGGGGCGAGGAACACATTAAACAAGCGTAAAACAAAATTCGCTTTAACATGTAACGTTCAAAAGGTGATTCGGGCGCTCGCATTTAAAAGTCGTGAAAAATTCGACAATTAATTTTTTTTCAAAATTTTTGGTATATTCTGATAGCCAGTCCTATAAGCTTTAATTTGATAGAGGGATTTAGATATCTACAGTTTAAACCGGACGCGCTACATAGCTTGCACGTGAGAAACCCCTGAAGGTGCACGGTAACCTTAAACTTGCGACGTCTTCAAGAACCCACTCGGTATTCATGATGGTAACAATGAACTAAGAATAGAAAAAAAGATAAAAAACTGAGATTAACATTTGAAATCTAGGGTCTTTGGACTGAGCAAGAAGATGGGGAGTCTGACACTTAGAATGAATTAGGGTACCTCATAACCAGGTTGTGTACATGTTAGCATTTCGGAGAAACTGAAAGACGCTGAATTGTCAGATTGGGTGGCATGATTCATTCCATCGTCTCTTCAAAACTTGCAACAATTATGCTAAATGGGCAAATTTTTTTCTCTCCCACAGCGTCAGGAATCATCTTTTCAAAGACCCCAGGGAGATGGATGAATCTATATGCGAATAAACTAAATCGAGTGACATAAGCTAATAACTCAAATTGACTCTTTTTTTAGATATGCTAACGTGTACAGTAAATATTTATTTAATTTAGGCACGATAGTACCAGTTTCTGGTGCGTCATATTATAGTAGAAAATGAAAACTTACCTTAAACGGCACTGAGCGAAGATTTACAAATTTCTTTTAAATTTTTACTCTTCAAAAACTTCTTTAAACAAAATCGCGCGAGACATGCAGTTACAGTCCAACGAGAACTTTACGAATTTTTCTGCACAATCTGCCACTCCAGTCATCTTCGACATCAAAGAATGCTTCCTATATGATGTGAATTTCGCTTCGGCTGAATACCTCTTCGTCGCCCACATCGTAACTACGGTTGTAAACTTCGTCCTCTCTGCATCAGCTGTTGGTGGGAATTCCATTGTGATCTTCAGTGTTTGGAAAACGCCGTCCCTTCATACGCCGTCAAACGTCTTCATCTGCTGCCTCGCCTTCAGTGATTTAGCAGTTGGTTTGTTAACCCAGCCATGCTTTGTCGTTCATAAGGTCGGTGAAATGCTCCACTGTGTCGAAATGTATTGTACTTCTAGAATGATGCTCGAGTCACTGGGGAATATTACAGCAGGAGCTTCAGTGCTCACAATTACAGGAATAGCTGCGGAAAGATGGCTGGCTTTGTACTTCCATTTGCGTTACAACAAAGTATTCACCTGTACTCGAGTCCTCTCCGCGGTGGCGTTTTTCTGGGGCGTTTTTATCATTCTCGCCGTCCTCCGGGTTTCTGTTTTGCGCCCAGGGGCTTACGCTGCCATTTCAATCACAATAATTGCGTTTTGTTTTCTCTTTATTTGTCTGGCCTACATTAAAATCTTGCGATGTGTTAAACGACACGAGCGTCAAATTCAAGCTGTAGAGACGAAAGTGAAGAGATGCGGGCAACAAATCAATCAAACCACAAGTCGCTTAAGAAATATGCTACGCTACAAGAAGTCAACCATGGCGATGATTGTCGTCGTTGGTATTTTCACGGCTTGTTTTGCACCTCTTATGAGCGTTATACTGGCCTACAAGGTGTTGGGATACACCACTCCAGTGAAAACGGCCTTTATGTACGCATCGACGATTGCCTTTCTGAACAGCTCGCTGAATCCATTGGTATATTGTTGGAGACTACGCTCTTTGAGAAACGCCATTAAAACGGTTTTTGGAGAAAGAATGTGTACAAAAGCAATGTCAGTTAGATAATTAAGAACATGATGAGAATACTATTTGCGGGGCGCTAAGGGTTCAGATCAGCACCGCAAAGATTTTAAAGAGATACTTAGTTAACGGTGACATACTAATGAAGTTTTCGTTTTAAAGTTGAAGGATGCTCATGGATCAGTTTCATTTCTGCGATGAAAAACATAAACTTAGAAATTTGTCCACAGCGTTTGTAGCGAACATATTTAGTTGACAGCTATCAGAATAATCTATAGTATATTATACTATCCTTAAAATCAATAACATTAAGGTCATGAACTCAACACAAGTTTGAATCCCCAACTGTTTCATTTTATAGTGGAACCTCGATTTAACGAACCTCTATATAACGAAGTCCTCGGTATAACAAACGACACCTCTGTTTCCGCTCGGCTAAAGTTACAGTAAAATGTATGCCATAGAACCTCTATGTAACGAACCCTCGATATATCGAACCAATTTCCCCAGTCCCTTGGCTCTTCGTTAAATCGAGGTTCCACTGTATATGGAAACTTTTCGTCCTGATACAGATCTGTCCTATGATATACTGGTGTCATATCCTTAGGCTAAGACCCCCGTGAGACTTATATATAAGTTCAGACAGTCTCTAAGCCTTTACTTCTTAACATCAGTGTGTAGATTCTCCATACTGTTCTCTATACATTTTTTAAAGGTGATGACAAGGAGAATTTGTTCAACAATCAAGAGTTTTTGTTTTAGTTAATGATCATTTCCGCTATTCTCATGGCCTTAATGTGTGATTCAGGGGTGAAATTGTAAGGAGAAATTAGATGCTAATCATTCCTAGAGGTAAAAGGGTTAAACATCGTGATTAAACATTCCAGTGTCAAGAACTAAATTGGTCGATCCACTTTCAGGAACAAAGCCACTGCATTGAATTGGGTCTCGAGCTAAATAGGAACAATTAGAAATTGATGATAGAGCAAAATGTTCCAATGGCATATTTTAGAAATTGGCTGACTTCTAATATCTCTAACTATGTTATCGATTGATTTAGGTCGATAATTGTCTTATTCCAATCATTATCATCAATTATTTTGTAGTTCTATAGTTGGTGAGTCTCGCATAGGTACACAGCAGAACTAATCTCCCGCTAAATAAATCATGAATTACCATACATTGATGCATCCTTGAAATTCTTAAAAGTTGCACAACCCTTCGAAATTTGTCCTCAAATGCTGTAAAAGTTGCGCGATAGACTCGTTACCAGGCCGCACACGCAAAGCCCAGTACAACGCGCGGTAAACAAACAACTGCTGTCGGCTGGTCTCTCATACAGTGGGCACAGAGGACCAGAGGAACAGTGGGCACAGAGGACCAATGGAACAGTGGGCACAGTGGGCACAGAGGNAACAGAGGAACAGTGGGAACAGAGGAACAGTGGGAACAGAGGAACAATGGGAACAGAGGACCAGAGGAACAGTGGGAACAGAGGAACAGTGGGCACAGAGGACCAGAGGAACAGTGGGTACCGAGGACCAATGGGTACAGAGGACCAGAGAAACAGTGGGAAAAAGTGAGTACAGAGGACCAGAGGAAGTTTGGGTGCAAAGGAATGGGAGAACAGTGGGGAACATGGGAAAAAAGAATTGTGGCCAACATAACTACTTTAAAAACTTCTCCTCAAGTTTCATGAAAAAATTATCCAGAACTAGTAATATTTTATAGCTTAATATAGCGACAAGATCTATACGTTTTTGAAATGACTGTTTGTCATATACGCAACAGTAACAAAAAATCAAGAAAGCAAGACAAAAATTTATCGCATTCCTCGGCACCTTTGATGGTATTCACTTCTTTGAGGAACATAGTTCACTTTGTCTTTTGAGTATTGCCGCCATAATGGCTGCGCCGTGACTGTGAGCTGCAATGGCTCGCTTGATTCGTTCATTTGATTTTTTTTCTGAGCAGTAACGGCTTAGGCTCTAGGGTGCAACTGATAGATTGAACACGATTGTAGTGGGTCAGCAGAGAGGAAGTGTATTCAGTTCCTTCTCGCTTGCAAGGGACAGTTGTACAAGTTTTTCCACGAAAAAGAATTCCTCCCTTGTCAGTGCTCCCTCTCGTGGCGATTCTCCTTTCATATGGAGGTAGGCTTGTGAGGTATGCTTTTTCAAGTTTTGAAATCATACTTTCGCCGTTTGCGTGGTGCACCGCACTAAATATTTGCACCCTCGAATTGACGTTGTCCAAATGGATTTGAACAACCGCGGCATGTGCAACTTCCGGAGCAACTTATTCGAGCTTTGAGACACTTGCACCTGCTCGAGTATGAACCAATAATGTTATTGTGAATATTTTCTACTGACCCTTGGCTTTTCGTGCTGACTCCACAGGAGCAAAACACTTAAGCTCGTTTTTCTTCCTTCTTTATTTCTTCGCCTATCTTTTCTCTTGGCTCCGAGAGATAATTTTCTCGACAGAAGTAGTCGTAGTGCCCACAACCAGCAGCATTAAATGATATAAACAAGGGAGGCATACCACGTGACTGTTGACGTGGCAGTATAGGAATAGTTGGGAAGTTTTCCAGAGATGAAAAGATCACAATTGGCATTTTTAAAAAGTTAGCCATGGCTAGAACCATAAGATTTCCCAGCTCTCCAGTAAAATAACCACGATGGGAAAACCGCTCAACTTCGTTTTCAAAATTGTCAGTGGTTAGGAAGTTTTCATAGTGTTGCCTGTTTCCTCCTGACCACTCTGAAATGGTTAATTCTCTCAGTTTGGTGACTAAACTGTCTTCGCTCTGTTTGAAAAGACCGAGATTAGTTAAATGCTCAACCACTTGACAATGTATTTCTCCTGTCCTTGTAATGCGAATAATGTTCCTTGCCACAGCTCGAAAACACCAATCTCCATCTCTGGGAATATGCTCCCGGGACATTGACCAGTTCTTCAAAATGTCGTCTATCCGTTTATCGTGCTCGATGACATCTCGATCCGTACTGAGTTCAACGTTAGAAAACAAAGTTACTGACGCGTTTAAATCAGAAAAGTGACGATGTGACACTTCTGTTCCTGAATTACTAAGATTGGGTAGGCTTTGAAACGTAGCCATGTTTGACTGTGCCTTGTTCAATATGTCAATCGCAGCAGAGTGACTCACAGGGGTCGCATGGTTATTAGAATCACTTTGTGGCTCTGTTAATTCGTTAGTTATTTCCCTTTTGTCAAAAGTTTCCAACCCAATGCCGAATATTTCGTCTGATCTTTCAAAGATTTGGCTTGTCGTGGAATGAACAGATTCTACTAACTTGAGTCTTTCGTGAAGCACACCGGTTTCCTCTGGAAGTACGCACGATGACTTTCTGTCCTTGTGATTTCTGCGATCGAATACTATCATCAACAGAGCATAAGCGAGACGAACTCCCACTCTACTACCACTAAAAAGATGACCGATCCATCTGTGTAGTACTTCATTTCTGTTAGTTCCTCTTCCCGGGGCAATTCCTTATTAAAGAACAACAACAACAACAACAAGAAAATATTAGAATAAGTCACATATCACTTACATTTCTATGAAAACGTTCACGCATCACAAATGTGAGGTGGAAAACCGAAACGAAGCACAAGCAATGAGAGAATGCCTTTCTCAGGAGTGGTATCTGGAAAAGCTAGGGATCTTCTCCTCAGATTTACATATTACAGTTTAGTTTCGCGATTCGAGGTAAAGATCTTGTTACTGTGTATTTAAAAAGGTGATTAACCTACTAAAAATTGTCTATTTGTTCACGAACATCAATCCTCTTGCGTAATTAGTTGAAAGGGGGACATTTTGTGCAGTCATCTTACGCCTCTTGATGTTCTCCTATCTCACTCGATGGACCGCTGACTCTCACCTCTTCCGAATCTGATATCTTTTTTTTTCACCGTGTGTATTAACGAGCCTCCATAGGGTTATTTGACCGTGCAAGATTCAAATGTTTACGTATGCTCAGATATCAAGGTAAACGAAGTATTACTCAATAATTTGTTTGGGAGAATGAGATTCATCGTATTCCCTCAGGTAGAATTTCCTTGGATTTGGCGTAACGTTTCACATATTTGCGGCCCTCATATTGCCAATTAATGAAAGAAGAGAATCATAGGAATGATTTAAAGTTGCCATAAACGCCGCCGTATAAGCGGCGTTCGCAGAAAATCCCCACCCCAACTTTTGCCACTCAAATTTTGGAGAAAAGAGTATTTTTTCAAGGAAATCATAAGTTGTCTTTGAAAGTTACTCTATTTGGTTGTTTCATCAAAAGTACACAGCGAAAGGTCACCAAGATTGAACACGGAGAATACTTTTTACTGTGTGTTTACTGTTCTTAATCAATTGCTTTGATAATTACAGAGATAAAACAACACTCAGCTCCTTGGAAATATCGGCCACGTGCTAGATAATTATTCTTGCCAAAGTTCTTGTTAGAGTGCTAAACAAACTTAGCTTTCGTTGGATAGTGGTAATTTGTGCCGCACTCCTGATTTGGAAATGAGGAAAGGTAGAAAACAATTATATCTAGTAAATGGAGAAACTGCCTTTGAAACCCCTTTTTCAATTTAAAATGATATACAGGACAAATTTCACATTTTGTCAAGGTTAGTGAAGATTTCATCAAAACAAATTGGAAAAATGACAAATAAAAGTCCAGTTACGGATAGCGAGGGCCCCTTTTGATACGTTTCGGTGCGCGTCATAATCAGGCGAAAACTCTATTGTGCTACCTTAAAGCAGAGTAATCACTTTCCCTAATTTGTCTTCTCTTAATTAATTTCGCACTCGATGTTCTGTAACAAATACTTGTATTAAACCATGGTACTTGTTTCAAATGTTTGTAAGGATTTGGTTCAAAACTGTGAAGTTTTTAAGGAGAGTTGTATTTACTCGCACGACCTGTTTTTGTGCCGCAAGCTCGACTTAAAACAAATTGAATAGTGCGCTCGCGCCTCACGCGCCTGAAAACTAGGTTGTCATTCACGGTTTATAAAGAACACTAAATGATTGTTTGGCTTCGGTTGGAAACTATAAAAGTTTCAAGAGAGAGATTTACATACTATAAGAAATTGCCTGTTTCATGCATGAGGGTCGCGCGATCGTTTTAAACCAAACAGTTAAGTCGTGCCGAGCTCTGTATGCAAAACTTTCTAAAGACTTGCTTTTCGCTTTTTACTGGGAAAAGTTCCAAATCTTTTTCGTCTTGCTACACGTTTGATTGGAAACAAACTAAAAAAAGAATACACACTCTATGCAACAACCATGCAGTCTTCAAATAGCCTTTTTGTTTTGAAAAGAAAATAAAAACTCATCACACCCGTGCAAGAAGAAAAATTAAGAATATAAGAAAAGAAAAGAAAAACTCATTCACACCGCTGCAAGAAGAAAAATTAAGAATTTTTTTATCTACATATATCAAGAAAGCAAGACAAAAATTTATCGCATTCCTCGGCACCTTTGATGGTATTCACTTCTTTGAGGAACATAGTTCACTTTGTCTTTTGAGTATTGCCGCCATAATGGCTGCGCCGTGACTGTGAGCTGCAATGGAAAAGAGAAGAGGAGAATATAGGTTTCTATTGCTTAAAAGTAGTACTTAAAACAAATAAAAGGATTTTAAAAATATTATAATGGGCACAATTTTCAAGTTGACTTCAAACTTACCTTACAAACAGCCTTTCCTCATGTGTTCCTTGATTTTCTACACCTCCTTCAATGCTTCCTCTGGTAAGATAGGCTTCCCTTTGTTGCTTTCAACATTTTTCCATTTCTTTAGAAACAATTCAGCATTATTCAAAAGAGCGTTTGGATCTGGAGTTTCTTTTAACCGCGTCTACCCGAGGTCAGATGGATCTCCGTGAACATTAACCGTAGATCTTGTAAGCAAGGAGAATAAAACGGGTGGCGCTTTAATAACTTGGTACTAACTCACTGAAAAGAATGGAAAATATCTAGGAGTTACAACAAGATTTGCCCCAAAAACCTCTTGTAACTTCTTTCTCCGGTGACAGCAGTTGTCAATACAAAATTCCTTAACAATTTTTCCTTGGCTAGATATTCTCCAAAACAGTAGTTGTAGAAGGAGACGGATGTTTTCAAAACATTTCGTTTGAGTTAGTTGCCATGTCACAATTTGTCCTTTTTCGTTCATAACGCAAAATAATGAATTGTATTGTCGAATCCACTTTTTATCTTCTCTTCTCTCATATCCAATCCTGCCAGATATATCAAAAGTGTGATCGCAACACAGCCATTCTTCCTCCGCTGAGGTTGATGTCATACGTTTTATAAACAAATTCTCATTCAAATCAAAGTAATGTAGAAAAAATTCAGAAATTGTATTTCGACTGGGACATTCTTGTTGCTGACTAAACGCTGGAAAAGAACAATCTATTACGATTGGATGACTGGCACTACAAGTGTTTAAATCTTCCAAAAACCTGCTTTCTTGTTCCAGGTGACGCACGTGCAACCAACCGTTCAAGCATAATATCGTGAATTTGTGAAAAGGACAATCCATTTCGCACCATAGAAACAAACAAATCAAGCAGTTCTTTAGTAACTCTGCTTTTGTGAGAAAGTAAGAAAGGTATTCTTACTCGACTTGTTATCATGGCCAATATAATGGGATCATGTCAAATAATTTCATGCCCAGTAGAACAACAATACACACGACTTAAGAGCAAAACTTTTCCAATTAAGCCATACATTTTTCTCGGCGTATGACGACGTAAACGACCATCCTTCCATCCATTTGGTCTTAAAGAAATGGCTTTACCATCTTCGTTACAGTTGGGACAAAGGAATTCAGGTTGCAAAAACTGCCTCAGCTGTAAATGCGGCTCTCATACTATAGCATTTGGAAGCTCACAGCTCCTCTCGTCCTCTGTACGCACCGGTCCTCTGTTCCCACTATTCCTCTGGTTGTCTGCACCCACTTATCCTCTGGTCTTCTGGTCCTCCGGTCCTCTGAGCCCTCTGGTCCTCTGTACCCACCGGTCCCCTATTCCCACTGTTCCTCTAGCCCTCTGAGTCCACTGTTCATCTGGTCCTCTGTTCCTACTTGTCCTCTGTGCCCACCGTTCCTCTGGTCCTCTATACCCACTGGTCCTCAGTTGCCACTGTTCCTCTGGTCCTCTGTTCCTACTTGTCCTCTGTGCCCACCGTTCCTCTGGTCCTCTATACCCACTGGTCCTCAGTTGCCACTAAA